TCTTTGAAGCCCTGGTGGATGGCTGAGATTCCAGTAGTGATGTAGGATACATAACAGGAATGCCAACACGCGGTCATGCCCACTGCATAACACTTTGCAGCCTTGCTTACACTACCTTTTGCTGCATCTTTTCAAAGAAGCAATCGGATGCACCTTACTATGGGTATGGCCCTTAGGTATGTCTACACTGCATTAAAAACCTGCGGCTGGCCCTCGTGCCAGCTGACTCGGGCTCACAGGGCTCGAGCTAAAGGAGCTGTTTAATGGTTGTGTAGGTGTTCAGACTTGGGATGGAGCCCAGGGTCTAGGACCCTGAGAGGTGGGAGGGTCCCAGAACTGCAATTAAACAGCCCTGTGAGCCCAAGCTCTGAGCCTGAGTCAGCTGGCCCAGGCCAGCTGCAGGTATCTAACTGCAGTGTAGACATCCCCTTAGACTACCACATGGAAATGTGTTCTGCCTGCCAGCATGTGTGCAACAGTGGATAGATCTGCTTCCCTTTTCTGTGATGGTCAGGGCAGAATTCAGCTTGAAGTTGGCAATACAGCAGATAGGAAAATGGATACATTTCCATGGAAAGTTTCATGGAATTTTTTCCCCTCCGTTTTTCATCAATATTTTTTGACCTTCTCTACTGAGCAGATAGACAAGGTATCAGCTTCCTGTTTCTTCACTGATTTTTAATTTATTCTTCTTGTAAAGGGACTGATCTGGTCAAGAGACTGCTCACTGCAACAAAAATAAGTCTAGACACAAGCTGGAAACTCGCCTGCTTTATTTAACTACATCACAACGGAGTGTGGGAGAGGAGACCAGGAACTCCCACTAACTAATCGGGAAGTAAAGGATGTGGCGAACATGGCTCAATTCCATAATATTCGGAGTCACCCAGTTAAACTTATCCTAACCGCTTTACTACAATTATATTAAACAACAGTTTAAAAATAATTATAATATAAGCCTATTACAAACTGGATGAAACAATTACAAAAAAGTCAAAATTTTCTGTTTTTAAAACAGCATTTTCTAAATATATCTCAGCACTTCTGAGAGGAGTCATGATTTTAAAAAATAATATGTCATTTACTCTTTATATGAATAATTCAGCATGAAAACACAGGTAATGACTGAATCAGGCTTGAACTGTAATTAATGAGTAAAGAAAGCAATAACCATACCATTCATATGCATTTGATAAATTGAATCTACTGGATGTATAATTGGGGGGGAAGTAACCTGGGAGCTAAAACACATTAATAACGGAGATTGACAGTTTAGAATATAATATACATTGTATTGTTACAAATTCTATTATTCATTCTGTGGCTATTTACAATTTAAAAGTGAAAAACCTACCTCAACTTCCTGCGTACGTAAGCATTATAAATGAGAAAAAAATAAATAAATAAAAGAATGAAATCAAACAATACAAAATAATATTAACATTTTCCACTTTGCCCTCCTTCTCCCTCCCAAGCAAATTTTAAAAGTATAATCACTAGGTTCAGGAGACCTTAACCTTAAAATGACATCTGTATATTTTACTTTTTTGACAAGCTACTAGCATCCTTTGCCAGTCAGAATTTTGTTATTTTGTCAGCTGGCCTAGTGACAATTTGCAAACAAGTTATTTGCCCCAAAAAAGACTGGAAACCTAAGGAACCATTTCCTTTTGGCTGAAAAAACAAAGGCATGGGTTGTTCCCCCACTGCCCCCACCACCACCACCACCCCGCACCATAGCTAATAGATTTTTTTTTAAACTGTTTTGATTCAACCCCCTAACAATTTAAAATATATTTGACAATTGATAGATTCAATAGTAAAAGCAAAACTGAACATGTTTCCATTGTTTAATGAGAACAGAATCCTACAACAGATGGTTTTTTTCTACAGCAATATTTTTGCAAGGCGACAATTCCTTCCCCAAAGTCTGTGCTCATATTCGCTTTCACCACATTAAAAGTATCCTGCCATGCATGGAATTCTCACTAATAGGAGTTTTGCCTACGGATCTATGGCAGGATAGGACACTAAGTCAATCCTTTAAGTACATTAGAGTAAAATTCAACTTAGTTCAAAGGGCCTGCTCAAGGGCCTGGGCATCACTAAGATCCTGTAATAAGATTTTCAGTGGACCTCAAATGGTACATTGGATCTTGTGCAGGATCTCTGCACAGGGACTTATCTGACCAGTTAGTGAGTCCATATTCCATTATATGAAAGTGTCATACAGTGACTCACAGTACTTTATCGGTATATTAACGCAGTAAAACCAGATTGTCACCCTTACTCACATTGAGGTACTCACTGTGGGCATGTCTTCACTACCCGCCGGATCGGCGGGTAGCAATCGATCTATTGGGGATCGACTTATCGCGTCAAGTGAAGACGCGATAAAATCGATCCCTGATCGCTCTGCCATCGACTCCGGAAATCCACCGCGGCAAGAGGCGGAAGCGGAGTCGACGGCGGCGCAGCTGCGGTCGACTCGCTGACGTCCTCACAGCCAGGTAAGTCGACCTAAAATACGCAACTTCAGCTACGCTATTCACGTAGCTGAAATTGCGTATCTTAGGTTGCCCCCCCCGTAGTGTAGACCTAGCCTGTGGGTAGTCCCATTAATTTCAGTGGCATTACTTGTACAGTAAGGTACCAGTCAATGTGAATAAGGCCATCAGAACTGGACCCTGAGTTACAGTTCCTGTTTATGATGTTTGAGGTCAACATCTAATAGTAGCAGGATAATTGAGAGCCCAATAAATCACTAAATGTTGCATCCACACTACCAAAACCTAAAGCCACAGCACATTTTAGAGAGAGAGAGTCAAAATCTCAGGTGTGTGAATGCAGAGGCTGCCTTTGGAAATTTGGCCCTGTGTATCTTGCCTTGTGGCCAAAATATACAGTTACTGTGGAAGTGAAAATAGTATGTTGTTCCTTAACATGCATAAGCCAGCCAAATACAGATGACATTTACTGACAGAACTCCAGAGGCTCATAGTTTACAAAATTTATCTTTCCTTATATTAAGAGCCTGACAAAAGACCTTGTACAAGCAGAAATGAAATGCAGCTTCTGCGACGTTGTCTTCATTATTACATCATCTAAATGTTCGCCAACTCTTGACTACACAAGAAAAAAAGTGTGCAAGATATCAGTGATCATGGTAAAAGTCTTTTAAAGCCACAGAGAAGGATTTAGCCTCCGACCTGCTTTTTGTTAACCAGGGCTAACCTGCTTCATATCCTATGGACAGCTGAGGAGAAGGCTTTTTGCACAGAAAGCTGTGTGGATTTCCCTACAGCATCCCATTATGGGAGTGGGTTTGTCCGCACGGTAAGTCTGTGCAACCTGCCCCAAGCCTGCCAGATGGACAGTACTTCTGACTCCCTTTTCTCTTTGGAACTGCACTCCTAAGGTCTCCCGAGCCTGCAGTAATTTATGAGACCTCTGGGGCTGTATTACATTTTCCTGGTCTGTGAGGCTGGAGGGGGAACCTTTTTTAATCCCCACTAGCTTTGGAGGGGAGGGATAGCTCAGTGGTTTGAGCATTGGCCTGCTAAACCCAGGGTTGTAAGTTCAATCCTTGAGGGGGCCATTTAGGGATCTGGGGCAAAAATCAGTACTTGGTCCTGCTAGTGAAGGCAGAGGGCTGGACTCGATGACCTTTCGAGATCCCTTCCAGCTCTATGAGATAGGTATATCTCCATATGTTATATTAAAGCTTTGCCCCAAAACCATCCAGTCTCTTTTCCCTTCCCCCAGGGAGGACCTTGGACAAGCAAAGATGACAGGTCCTGGGTGTGGGTGCTACAGAATCCACTGAATGGAAGGTGGGAAATCCATGTCTGCTGGACCCCTATATGCACAGATCAATGGTGGGATTCAGAATGTACAGCAAGAAAGTCAGAAGGAGCAATTGTCAAGATAGTTGGTGTTCTTCTCTAAACTCCATCTCCTGGAGTCTTCAATTTAGAGGAGAATCCCAGCGTTTATTTAAAAAGAAAAGTTTGTAGCCTTCATGGCTATGAAGACAAGCTTGAAAATGTTACCCAAGTGCGTCCTAACGGCTCGGAAACCAGAAGGCAAATAACAAGAACCCAACATTTAATTAAAACAAAAAAGAAAAGAAAAAAACAATTCATGTTTTTTAGGCCAATCTCATAATTTTTGAGCTTTTGTGGTTAACAATAATGACAGAGACACAGAAGAAAGAAAAATTTTAAATGTTAAACTTTCTAGCACTTTTGGCTCAGCTCTTCTGGAAGAGTTTAGGAAATGTGAAGGAAAGGTGGTGGTCTTGGGTCATTTTAGTCACAAGACGAGTGTGAAAAAAATGGATGCAAAGGCATCCCTATGTCCATCCTTTCAGCAATTATAGATCACCTAGGGACACAGGAAACATTGATAATGCCACTGCGGAGAAGCTAAAGGAATTCTTTGCATCAGTCTTCACTGCAGAGGATGTGAGGGAGGTGCCCACATCTGAGCCATTCTTTTTAGGTGACAAATCTGAGGAACTGTCCTAGACTGAGGTATCAATAGATGAGATTTTGGAACAAATCGATATGTTAAACAGTAATAAGTCACCAGGACCAGATGGTATTTACCCAAGAGTTCTGAACAAACTCAAATGTGAAATTGCAGAACTATTAACTGTGGTTTGTTACTTATCATTTAAATCAGCTTCAGTACCAAATAACTGGAGAATAGCTAATATGATACCAATTTTTTAAAAAGGCTCCAGAAGTGATCCTGGCAATTATAGACTTGTAAACCTAACTTCAGTGCCAGGCAAATTATAGTAAAGCATAGAAACTATAGTAAAGAACGGAATTATCAGACACAGATGAACACAATTTGTTGGGGAAGAGTCAACACGGCTTGTGTACAGGGAAATCATGCCTCACCAGTCTATTAGAATTCTTTACGGGTGTCAACAAACATGGACAAAGGTGATCCTGTAGATAAAGTGTACTTGGACTTTCAAAAAGCCTGTGACAAGGTTTCTCACCAAAGGCTCTTAAGCAAAGTAAGCAGTCATAGGATATGAAGGAAGGTCCTCTTATGGATCAGTGACTGGTTAAAAGACAGGAAACAACGGGTAGGAATAAATGGTCAGTTTTCAGAAGGGAGAGAGGTAAATTGCAGTGCCGCTGAGGAGCTGTTCTGGGACCAGTGCTGTTCGACTTTTTTATAAATGATCTGGAAAAAGGGGCAAACAATGAGGTGCAAAATTTGCAGATGGTACAAAATTACTACAGACTGTGAAGCGTTACAAAGGGATCTTACAAAACTGGGTGATTGGGCAACAAAATGGCTGATGAAATTCAATGTTGATAAATGCAAAGTAATGCACATTGGAAACCATAATCCCAACTATACGTACAAAATAATGGGGCCTAAATAAGCTGTTATCACTCAAGAAAGAGATCTTGGAGTCATTGTGGATAGATCTCTGAAAACATCTGCTCAGTGTGCAGCAGCAGTCAAAAAAGCGAACAATGTTAGCCATTAGGAATGGGATAGCTACAATGGTTCATTATTATCTAACATAGCTAACAATGAACCATTAGGAAAGGGATAGATAATAAGACAGTAAATATCATAATGCCCCTATATAAATCCATGGTATGCCCAACTTGGAATACTGCATACGGTTAAAAAAATGTTACAGAATTGGAAAAGGTACAGAAAAGGGCAACAAAAATTATTAGGGGTAATTAACAGCTTTCATCTGAGGAGAAATTAAAAAGATTGGTTCTGTTCATCTTAGAAAAGAGATGACTAAGGGGGATATGATAGAAGTCTATAAAATCTTGAATGGTGCGGAGAAAGTGAAGAGGGAAGCTTATTTACTCCATCACAGAACACAAAAACCAGGCATCACCCAATGAAATTAATAGGCAGCAGGTTTAAAACAAACATAAGGAAGTAATTCACACAATGCACAATGAAACTGTGGAACTCATTGCCACGGATATTGTGAAGGCCAAAAGTATAACTGTGTTCAAAAAAGAATTAGACAAGTTAATGGAGGATAGGTCCATCAAAGGCTATTAGCCAAGATGGTCAGGGATGCAACCCCATGCTCTGGGTGTCCTAAAGCTCTGATTACCAGAAGCTGGGCCTGGATGACAGGGGATGGATCACTTCATAATTGCCCTATTCTGTTCATTCCCTCTGAAGGGCACCAGCCACTACTGGAAGACAGGATACTGGACTAGATGGACCATTGGTCTGACCCAGCATGGCCATTCTTATGTTACTATGTTCTAATATTCTTCATTAGTGATCACATATGCACCTTCATATTGCTGTCTCCTCTTTCAATAATCATGACTTATTTTCTTTTGGATTATT